CAGGGTAGAGCTGGAGGGATGTGCGGGAGTCTAAGTAAGGTTTCTTTCTTTTTGGTTTTCAGATTAGAGAGGCCCACGCCAACTCAAAAGGGTAGCTGTGTGGAGAGGATTGAAGGTCTGTGTTAAGGCAGGGAGGGTGCAGAGTTGGGAAGATGTAAGGGCCACTCCCAGGGCCTATGCCACAGGACTCCAACCTGGATTTGGAGTGCAGCGAAACGGAAGGGCTTAATGCTCTGGCTCCTGGCTGCAGTGACAGTTTACCAACCACATGGTAGGGCACAAAGGAGTAGGAATGGTGGGCTTTAAAACAGAAAAAAGGAGTAAAGGGCTATAAGAAGGGAAGAAAGATGAGCTCAGTTGTACAATTTGAGGTTATGTCTGATCACCAAGAGGAAATACTCAGTAAGCAGGTAATTTCCAAGCTCAGGCCTAAATCACTGAGCTTATTAGTTTGCAGGTAGCAAGTAAAGCCATGTGTTTGCAAGACACCACCGAGGGGAAGTACATTAAGGAAGAACAGAGTGAGGTTCTGAATACAGCCCTGGGGAGCCTGTAAGGTGTAACACAGAACGTTCAAGGCATTCGTATCCATTTAAGTCTACTCTGTTTTTTGTCTTCTAAAATTTCAAGAGAAACATATTACATTTGAATATTTTTCAAATATTCATGCAGAGAACCAAACTTAATCTCAATAATGACACTGCTGATGACTGTATTTTAGCAATCTTCATTATAGTAAAATATTTTTGAAGTTTTCTGTGGTGTTCCATAGTCTCTTTAAAAAAAAAAAAGTCAGTCCACATAAAATCGGTAGGATGTATGTTTAATTGTGTGAGTAGTGTTGTTGCCATTGATAGGAAATTATTCTCAGACCAAAAGGACAAAAGGAGAACAAGAAAAAACACTGTTTTCTAGATCTTATAAGTTCATAAGCAATAAATACTCTCTGGCTATGCATTCAACAAACATGAGAGACTGAGAGTGAAGAGAGAAGATAAAACATAGTCCCCGACCTTCAGGGGCTCTGAGCCCACAGCACGGTCTATAGCAGGGGTCAGCAAGTGGTGACCCCTGGCCCAAGCGTGGTCTGACGCCTGCTCTGTACATAAAGTCTCACTGGAACAGTCATGTCTAGACACACTGTCTCTGGCTGCTTTGGTGCTAAAACATGCAACCTCGAGTGGCTGCAGCAGAGACTTTATGGTCTGCAACGCCTAAAGCGTTGCCTGACCCTGTACGAAGACTGCTCACCAACCCCTGATACAGAGTTGATGTAAACCTGGAGAAAACAGCATTTACTCATTGAGGGAACGCTGTCTCAGGGGGCTGGCGCAGGTTACAGAGTGAAGGTAATACTGAAGAGGAAGCCAAAGCTTACCAAGGCAGGAGGGGAGCCACCGCACACAAAGGCGAAGCCCAGTTGACATGTAGGCTGTGGAGGGAAGGAACGGGCTGACTGCCCCCTGCCCCTTCCCTGTGGTGCCAAACTTGTGCTCAGCGAGTAAAATCTACAATTTTAATGATACAATCTGAGGAAAACATATTTAGGCCAGTAAAATAGATTAAGGTTAAATTATCCCGTCAGGAGTTTAAACCTGATACAACTCTCAACTGGAAGGTTATCATGTATCAAAAACATTAAAGTACTAATGTTTAGAAATGAGTTAAGTTTTTTTTGAAATTAGAATGGATTCAGTGTTTTCCTTGTAATGTTATTCTCACTGGTTTGTATTCTGACATGATTTTCTAAATGAAAGAACAAAGATTACCCTCTTTACCCAAATGCAGAATTGCATCTAATCCTGACTATACAAACGGACTTGATGTTGCACATTTGAATGCCATGCGACTCATCACCTGTCACAGAGGGAAAACAGGCTGGGCAGTGGAGCGTGAGGAGTCATTAGGCAAGGGAATGGCGTGACCCTCTGTGGGTGTCAGAAAGCCTAACTAGTGACAGGAAGGAAGATGCTCTGGGGTGTGAGTCCCAGCAGGGAGAGAAGTGGAGAAGCCGGAGCCGGGCAACTTGAGAGATGATGTCTGAGGCAGAGGTACGGGGAAGGAGCCAGGCTCTGTGTGCATTAAGGAGAGATTAAGCGGCTGTTAGCGAGGTGGAGGACTGCGGTGTATCGTCAGAGGCTGAGAATGAACTCACTAAGGGGACGAGGGGGTATGGAAGACCAAACCTGGGGGAAGAAAATGCGCCCTTTAGATACTTATTGGAACACAGATGTTAGGTATTTTGGACAGGCTGACTTGAGGAGCCTTGGTACATCCAAGTGCATCTCTTCAGGAGGCAACTGAAAATACAATGCTGAACCTTTGAAAAGAGGTCTGTTCAAACAACATGACATCTGCATGTGGTGGATGAAATTTCTTCACAATCAGGTGCACATGTGAAGGGAACTAAACAAAGAGAAGAAACAGCATAATTCGTAATAGGCAGATAAGAACATCCAGAACAGGAAAAAGAAAATAAAAGTGATGTTGCAGAGGTCAAGTGCATAGTGTCAAGAAAAGAATAGCTTGTCACACAGACTAAAGACCAAGTTGTTGACACATATGTGTCTATGTTCCAGTGACAAATTTCCAAAACGAAGCACTAAGAGATAACAGCAACCAAATCTGTAGCTAGAGCATAAGGAGCCCGGAGCCACTTGTGCTTCCAATAAGGGTCCTGAGCTCAGAGGGGCGTGGGCTGCAATCCCAGCTCTGCGATCTCGGGCAAGTTAAACTTTTCAAGCTTCAGTTTTCAACCTAGAGTGTATGTAACAGTACTTACCTTCCTGGCAGGGCTGCAGAGAGGAGTAAATGCGGTAAGGTGGAGTACTTACAACAGTGCCAACACATGGGAAGTAGTCGAATGTTGGCAGCTATCACTAGTATCGTTTTTACTAGAAAACAGCGAATCTTTGAAAATTATTGCCTGAAAGCAACTTTGCTCCTAGAGCCCAAAAGGCCAAAACACCATGATACCTTTATGTAAAACTACAGTACATACCGGAATCGCTGTGTGGAGCTACATGGTAAGATTAAAATGGGAACTAAGATAAAACAAGCATAACTGGGTCTTCAGTTTTAGAAAGAAAAGGAAGAAAACAACACGCCAAGTGTCCACACAGATTCCTAGTACGGCCCAGGTTAGCAGGAGTCGCCAGCAGGTGGAGCGCGGGGAGGGTGCAGGTAGGCAGAACCCCACCGTGAAGAAGGATGACTCATTAAGATGTCTAGATTTTATTCCTTAAAGATATTTAACTCCCTCTGCTTAGCTACCAAATAGCTTTATTAGTAGTACGGTTTCTGACATACCTCAACACTGACATTGATATTTTGACCAGTCCACAAATATTCAAAAACATAAGATACTAGAATTTTCTAATATTTTATAAGTTACAATGTTGGTAACTCTGGTTTTGAAACTGGATAGTGAAAACTGAGTGATCTGACTCTGGGATCCCCAGGGAAGTCTACAAGGCCAGGACACCAGACTCTGGGTCATGAGCCCCGTGTGCTGTCCAGCTTTAATCTGCCTAAGAAAGTCCAGGATTCTTCTACTTGTGCTCACTGTTGGGACAAACATAAATCATGTCAAGTTTTTGTGATTACTCCTTTGTTTTGTTTTTTTCCCCCTTACATGAACTATTAGCTAACTGTCTTGACCCAGAGCTGGAAGAAAATCAAAACCATCTGTTAAAAAAAAAAAAAAAAGCAACTAAAATGAGAGGTAAAGTTTAACCTTATTCTGTAAATAACAATTTACTATATCCACCTGTCTCTGAATGTTTACTAGACGCTCCTGAAATAATATTAGAAATAATGTAAAACAGTAAGTTAATCAGCAGATTCAAGTAAGAGAACTGTCCAGAACTACATTTATGGATTGAAAGCAATAGGACTAATGTCACCATTACATGATTTTAGATGACAATGTCCACAACCTACAAACTCTCAACAGCACTAGTTTGCTCAAGGTATTTTGTCCACGATTACGTTTTTAGGTCATATCACAGACAACCCACGCTGGCTGCACTGTATTACAGGTGACACAACGCCTGACGAATGGATGAATCATGTTTCGTAAGCACTCCATCGCCAGAAAACCCAAATTATAAACCATGCGACTTCAATTTGCTTATGCCGAACACCTTATTACCTAATAACTTTGGTTAAATAGGACAGGGCCCGAAAGCTTAGCAACGTGTTCCAGAAAGCGCAAAACAGTCTCGCGTCTTACACAAAGTGGCTCGGTTTGGATTTTCAATTCTAAGTTTGAATTCCTGGGAGATATTTCTCTAACAACAAGGCTAATTTCAAAGGACTTTGTTCTCATCTTTGCAACACCCTATGAAATAAAAACCACACGCATGGAATGATCATGAAATTCTATTATTCTAGGAATCGTGTGATTAGAAAAACCTATTCACGCATATCCCAGTCTGAATCAAGAGAAGTAAGGTCAAAACAACTGATTCCGCCGGCGCTACAGAGCGTGAGGGTGGCAGCCGGGGTTCGGCTTCCCCCCGAAACTCAGAAACGTGAAGACGCTCCACACGCCCCTCTCGTTGCCAAGAATCCGAGTGACCGCCGGAAACGCGCAAACTCGGCACGTCTCTGGACACGGCCAAGAGCTGCTCGGCGTCGGGACCCCACTGAGCCAGCACCGCGCGCGCTTCTCCCCGGAACGCGGGCCAGGCGGGCACCTGCTCCATCGGAGCCGAGAGGGTCCAACGGGCGCCCACCTCTGGCACCACACAAAAGCTCCACGCGCGGCGTGTCCGGGTCGCCGCGGAGCCGGTGCCACCGCCCCCTCGTGGGAGGCCCCGCTCCCTGGGACACGCCCCCGGGCTGTGCCCGCGCCCGCGCCGGCGGGGGGCTTGCGGAGGCCCAGGCGCGACCCCCGCCCGCCGGCTCTTTCTCCGGAGGCCCTCCGACCCCGGCCTCCGCGACCGCCGCTCGCCCGACGCCGCGAGGCCGCAGGGCAGCGGGCCCCCGGGGCTTACCCTCCGCCGCGCCGCAGCCGCCCCGCTTCCCTGCGGAGGCGCCCGAAGCACTGCGTCCAGCAGCAGTTCCCCATCGCATGCCGCCCGGCGCCGCCGCTCCTCCGCCTCCTCCCGCTCGAAGCCCAGGCCCAGGCCCAGGCCCGGCAGCCGCATCCGCGCCGCGCGAGCCGAGGGGGCCAGGGACCTACGGCGGCCGGCGGCGTGAGGGGCGGTGCTCGGAACAAGGGCGGCGGCTACTCCAGGGGCCGCCCAGTCGCCGCTGCGCGAGGAGGGAGCGCGGGGCCGCAGGCTCCGGACCCGCCGCCCGTCTGCATGGCACCTCGCTCGCCTCAGCCCCAGCCCGGCGCGACCCGCCGCCTGAAGGGGGCAGGCCCCGCCCCCGGGCGCCCAGGCCCCGCCCCGTACGCTCCGGCCCCGCCCCCGCGATCCCAGGCCGGACGCGACGCCGCCACGCCTCCGTCCTCTCTCGGGCCCCCATAGGGCACGCTGCCACGGCGGCCCCGCCTCCCCCGGCACTGGGCCTTACGTCACTTCCGCCAGCTCCTGGGTCGGCCGCCGTCCGGCGCACGTGGCTCGGATTCTGGGCGTGGGCGTTTGTTCCCTCGGCGCTTGCCCTGCCTGGGAAGTCTCTCCTGCTCCTGGTGTCCCGCCTCTGGGTCCTGAGCGGCCCGCGTGCCGCAGAGTCGAGGCTCAGCCTACGAGCTTTGTACCGAAGCCCTGCGAGCTGCTCCCAGGCCGGGCGCCCGCGGGCGTGCAGGGGCGCTTCTCTCCGCGGGGTGGGCTTCGGTTTTGTGAACGTTGCATCGTGACAGTCAGGGGACTGACTGAAGTTGATTTCAACGTACCAACCGTTTTCTTCTGGTCTCTAGTGTTTGCTTCAGTCTCCATACTGGCATCCTTGTTGCGTCACTTATTAATGGTGCCGCCGTGCTGGTCTCGTTTTGTTTAACATCAAATCTTCAAATAATGTCCGATGGGGTAGTTGGGGCCCATCCGAAATAAGTTGGGAGACTACGGTTTTTCAGAGCCACCAACCTCGCCAGTCCAAGCGTGCTGCCCAGAGCTGCGGTTGCTGGGAAGACAGCTGCTCTGACGCGACTTGATCTGCAGCACCTGCTCCTTAAAACACGGTTTTTGTAGCGGCCTTAAAATCGGGAGAAGGTGGGGCTCAGTAAACTCCTAGTCCAGTGGCTGGGCTGCTTTTATTTACAAACAAACATGTCGGTTTTTAGCTGGTTTTAATTTTTCCTAGAAAATTGTTGTATTTTAAAAATTATTTAAAAGTGTTCTCTCGTCTACTCATTTTCTTGCTTCCTGAAATCTAAACAGACCTGGGTTTCAATCTTAGCAATGCTACTTAATTAATTTTGACCTTATATGGGTCTTAGTCTTTTTTGTAATCAAGTGCATAGCGATATGTTTGGCCCAATTGTCTTCAGTAAACGTTGGTGGAATGACTGAATGACTTCCTGAATATGACTTTTTTTTTTCCTTTCCCCCATTCAGCCCTTGAAATCAAGCAAATGTATTTCTTTTGTTTTTAAGATTTTTATTGGGGAATTGGGGGATGGGAACAGCGCTGGGGAATTGGGGAAAGGGGAACAGACAAGTTGCTGTCCTTTTGTTCTTC